ACTGTTGCACTGTAGTGAGGGAACAGCTGTGTTACTAAGCGTGAAAGTTCCGAAACTGAAGCTGTAGAACTAATAGAACGTGATGACACAGAAGAACTCATCCACAATATCCACATTGACCGCCACAAATATCCACTGTCCCCTGTCATCAGCTCCCGCGTCACACACACGAGCGCGACTTTAGCACTAGATTTAGCAACTTTCAGACCCTTTTAGCGGCTTTTTTCCATAGAATATTCATATGACAAACCTAGCGACTTTTTTTGGATAAACCTTAGCTATGGTTCAGTTGGTCTGACTTTCCCGGAGAAGTGTCACCTCTCTCGGGGTCTGTTCCGTGCAGTGAGCGGCAGAGAAGCAACGCATTCAGTTTACTGCACCGCAGCTGACTCGTCAATAAATGAGTACAAAACAGCATTTCCAAGCACCTGTCGCTTACTGATTGTTTGGAATTATAAATATGAGCATAGTTCATCTGTTAATATCACATGCACTTTTTTGTTTGTTGTTTTTTTTAGTTTGTTACTCAGACGCAGGCAGTGCGCTGCATGAGACAAAGTAATATAGCCAAAACAACTGCATAGCCGCTCTTTAGTGTAGATGCATGTTGATTTTATCAGACGATGCCGCGATTATAAATGAGAGTGACTCCTGGTTAACATTAAAAGGGGTAGTGTTTAGTCACTATTTAGTTTGGTATTTTTTGACAATATTCACTCATCATGACAGTAAAATAGGCCATTCTAAGTCAATATACTGCAGTATTTCCTCTCTCAATCAGTAGAAAATATGTTTAACACCCGGTCATGCATGGAAAAAAAAAATACCGTCTTGTACCGTGAAACCGGTATAATTTCGAAAAATACCGTGATATAAATTTTTGGTCATACCGCCCAGCACTACCTTAATGCCTAATTGTCCACATTTAGCAGTTTAGAGCTGGGCAACAGAATAGAGATTGATTGAATTAGGTGTATGTGCACTGCTTGCGTGCCGCCAACAAACTGCCTGTGATTTACCATGTGCATCTCATCGAAACAGACCCAGTTCCTTTGTGACTGGCACATCCTATGTGAAACTGCCAGCAGTTAGAAATGCATGTGCTCACGTCGCATTTGTATTGTAAACACTAATGCTTTCAAGGGCTTCCAACTCACCTATCCACCATGCACCAAGTTAAAACGAGAGTCTTAAACTTTGCCGGTTACATGTAATTTTAAAAGAAAATAATCACAAAAGTTTGAAAAGTCCATACTTGTCACAGAAGACACATGCGAGATGCAAGTAATACCAGGTGTAAACACCAGTATGTCTCACCTGAGCACTTAAGATCAAATAGCCCGTAACGGATGACAATACAAAGTATAAACAACACTGCTAGAAAGGAAAAAAAGAAAAAAGAAAAGAAAGAGCTCACTTACTGCAAGTACCTCCACTGAACATAGGCACTGTCTCAAACACCATCTTGTGAAAGAGCAAGGCCACAGGTTTGTACTCCAGCTTATTCTTCAGAAGGTAGCTATAGTAGTACACATATCGCCTCTGACTGGGAATAGTCACTCCCTGTGATACAGCAAACCTGTAGTGTTAATGCAAACATCTCCTCCGTGGCCTCAACACAACACAACACATTTGCATCATACTTCCGTAAAAGGGTGCAGCAGTTGGGTTCCAGAAGTAAAAATCCCACCCATTTTCTCCAAAGGGGAACTGATTTTTAACAATTATTTACAAACCTTTAAAGACTTATAAACCTTTAAAAGTAATCTACAAGGTTGTAAATTTATGGTATATGCTTTTGTTGATGCGATCAGCCCACATTATTCAAAAAAAAAATGTATGTAATAATTTAACAGAATACCTGGTAAAAAAAAAAAAAAAAAAAAAACCCAAACAAACTACATGACACTGCAAAGAAATCTCAACCAATCAGAGAATCGAAACAAGCAAACCATGCCCAAGGGCTGCACAGCACCCACCCACAAATAAACCAATACATAATAGAGTCAGTCTCCCTAAGGTCTCAAACTGATTAAATATTTTTATATACAAATATTTTGCAATAAAAGTAAAATATTGTTTCTATAAATCAACTTCTTCTAAATCAATAATTTGATATTTCTCCATTGCTTTTAATTTGATATTTCTCCATTGCTTCTAATTTCATTAGGTCATTTGCAATGCTTCATAGGATTGTAGATCTTTCCCTTAATAAAGTACACAGTCTTGTACCTTTGCCTTTTTGACTTTTTTGCTTCAAATCTAAGTTTGTAAGGTTGTGATTCACCTCGTAGCTGGTTGGTTTAATTAATGGGATACAACTCTTTTTTTATGCCATTTTTTGATTCTCTACAAGAAAAATACTTCCAGAACAAAGGTCACTAAAAAAAGTGGATGGGCACTGTTGCACTCCACAGAAGAATACTCAGGGGGAAATGATGTAGGTCAGTAGATTTTTTTAGGTTCGAAACATTTCACTGTAACATTATTATTATGATAGTAATAACACATATACCCACATACATAATTATACATCAGCATGGACATTGCTTTCATTGACATGAAAATTTATCAAAACTTTTATCCTTTAATTTACATTTCTATACACAAACTTAAAATTCACAACTTGAGTTTTTTGGGAAAGGAAACAAAGCAAAAACATATATACGTCACCTTCTTGTCTCTGGTTCTAACTTCACCATAGAAGTCCAGAGCCTCTTGTGCTTTTTTGAATTTGCCTCGGTGTAACAAGTACGCACATATCATGACACCCGTACGTCCCTTTCCAGCTTTGCAGTGAATGGCAGCCACATGATTGTCATTTTCACTGAGCCACTTATCCAAATCTTCACAGAAAGGTTTAATAAGTTCTAACTGAGGAGGATTGTGATCCTCAAACGGATACTGTGCAACTGCAAGAGAAAAATAAAGAGTTCATTGAGACCTTCATTACCAAATTTCAAAACCATCTGTAAATGGCAGATTTATGCAATCCAAGCATCTTACCTCTGCAGTTAAATTTGGCAGTATCATAATGTCTTTCCGCACATCTAAACAATACAAAGAAACAGATAAGTACAGAACTTCAACGTAACATTCCCGCTTAAGAACTTTGCATCAATGCCAAAACTAACAGAACATTCACAGCTAAATAACAGACCTATGTGCAATGACAATGCCTTCCATTCACAATGATCAAGCAGCTTGTTTTCTTTAATGTTCAATTGAACATGATTGCAGCTTTTCTGCTTTTAACAGCAAACTGGAGGAAATGTTCTAGCAGTAAAAGCATTTGACAGAACTGAAGTTATTGAAACACACTTACAGATTATATATCTTGTAATGATCTTTATGCTTCAAATCCAAGAATCTGCAGAAAGAGCACAACAATTACTTTCCCAGACAATCACGGTTGATTTTGGTTAAAGGAAGAGTTCACACAAAAATGAAAATCCAAAGACTTTTGTTCATTTTCAAAACAAAGATATAAATCAAGAAACCAGAGAGATTTCTGTCACTCCATTGAAAATCCATCCCACCAAATTTTTGATGCTTCAAGAGGTTCATAAAGACGTTTTAACGTTATGCACCAGAATCGATAAATTCAATCCAAGTTTATATTCACATAGAAACATTGATCAATGCACATACATAAATCATATTGGTTACAGTAATCAACCGTACCTGCTTCACATGCGAGACCAACCCTTACTGTTCTTGCAGAAGATGAAATGTGCTTGCCTGACCCGTGAGAACAAACCTCATTGCTTCTTCCATTTACCATATTTGATGTGCTTTATCCATCTGCATTGATCAATGTTTATATATGAATAAAAATCTAAATTAAATCTTTTATTGCAAAATTAAAACTGTCATATTATAAAGTGATCACGTCTAAATTTTTATAAAACCACTTGATTCATATAGATTTTTTACAATAACATTCTGAACTTTTTGACATGCCAAAGTTTTGGTGGAATGGCAGAACAATAATCTCTCATCAGTCTCAAACTCCCACAGACCCAATAACAAGATCACAATCATGACAACACACCCCATTAGCATCAAATAACGCCAAATTAAAAGCAAACTTATTAGAAAAACGAACACTTGAACATACATCAGCATGATAAGAACTAGGGGTGGGCGATCTTCCCAAAATATCATATCACAATCTTGTCACACAAAATCACGATCTGAATTGCGATCTTCCCTATTTTGAGATGTACTATTGAGAATATCCAGAGTGGAACAAGCCTATGACTTACCTATTTGAACAATTTAAAATACAGTATTGCATTAAACAACAAAAATGGACATTAAAGCCGGAGTTAAACTTTAAGACGCTGCATCATTGTATGAATCAAATATACATTGATTCTTATTAAAGTTATAAAGTGATTAATTCAAGAGAGTGAGTGATTGTCTCTGTATTTTGTTGTTTAACATTAATGATACAGACAGCAGTAGGTTTATTAGGCTGCTGTCTCTTTAAGACCGAATGCACGTATCTAATATACTGACATGCATCCTATTTCTTTCCTAATTGTTTATGTTCACTTAAGACATAACTGACTGTCTTTATGTAAATACGCGCTAAGACAGACATTTTGACATAATATTGTGTATATTTGATCATTTATGCGCATACCTGAAACTCCACATATACTTTGCTTGTTTGTGTTAGCGCCGCCTCGGAGCGCTTGCACAGAACACACCTGGGGAACAGTCTCTTTCGCAGTTAATGCGCTTTTAATAACACTTTTTAAAATAAAGCATGTCCCACAGCAGACTGCATTTTATGACAGTCACATTGCATGATTGGACTGATTTGAACGTTAAGTTTAGGAGAGGCGAAAGCTTACCGCTTGAAATTATTGGAACAGCTTGTGGCACAAATCGAAACTGAAACTAAAATTTGATTCATCGCAGTACTACTGCTAGCTCATGTGGAGTTGTTTTTTTAAATACGTCACCACGCATGAAAGACACATGATAGAGACGCGGGATATAATTTGACCAGCCACAGTCATCTAATAGGCAGTCATTGCTGTAGTTTTAACATTATTATGAGGACATAAAAGATCACGGTTCTCTACGTTTCACTTGAAAAGTAGATCGTAGACGTCTACGAGATCGATCACTATATAAAATCGACAGATCGCCCACCCCTAATAAGAACTACCTAAAATGACGGAAACCATCTTTGGAAAAAATGTATACGAAGTGTTTTTTAATTAATTATTTAGTTTGTCTCGCATCCCATTGGATTACATGGAGAGGGTGGGGTTTATGACCTATACTGGGTCCAGCCACCTGGGGGCGATCTAAACATTTAGCGCTTTTTCACTTTTCAGCGCTTGTGCGGCACACTTGTTTTGTAACGACAAGAGGGTGTCTTTCTAGCATATGTTTGACAAGGGTGACTACAGGTTTTAAAAAATACATAAAAGGTAGCGTGGAAAGCCCTTATATGGAGCCGTTCATTTATAACACATCAATTTCATTAATATTAGAACTAGGTTAATAAATTCATGTGCGTACTAGGGCTGCAATAAATTATTATTTTGATAATCAATTAAAATGATTCTTAGAATGATTTACTAATCGTCGATTATTTCAATTAACATATTGAGTTATACATATTCTAAATAAAAAATAAAACAAGGTAATCAATCACTTCAGCTTTTGAAAATGTCAAACAATTATATTACTATCATACAATTACTATTATTATACAATTATTTTTTTTACAATACAAATAAACATATTTGGCACACAAAATGAGATGACAAAGACATTCTCATTTACCATTTAATTAATTCATCATTCTGACTTCTTTTTTTAAGTCATATGGATATTGAACAAAGGTAAGAGAAGTTTTATTTTTGGTAAACTATTTTATTCAGAACATAATCTCTCTTAAAACACCTTATAGTGTTACATTAATCAAAGCAGTCCATAGCTAGATTAAGCTTTAATTTAAAAGGTAATTTAAAGTAGTAATTCTAACTGGAACTGTGACACTGACAGTTTGATCATGTTTAATACTGCAAAGCTGCTTGGTTTAAAGCAATCTATTGCATAAAGTGCTATGTAAATTAATGTGACGTGACTGGACTTTACTGGAAAGAGGAACTGCAAAGCTGGTGCTAACCTCTACACCGCTATGATCAGATGCTTGTCGATAATGTCAACTAATCATTCAGCCCTACTGTATAGGCATGTTTTGTGAATTAGGCGAAAAGTTTTTGAGAAGTTCGAATGTGCATGTAAATACAACTAGTCTACGCAATTATTAGGCAACATCACTAGGGAACTATGGATGACTAGAAAAAAAATGTCTAATGCTCTGAATTGTGGTTGGAACATAAAACCATTATTTTAAACATTTTCTGCACAATCAAGGCTAATATTTACAGTCAAGCAATTAACACCACAAATGCATTTATTCGTATGACTGTGGAATGGCATACTGAATGACACAGTCTAACATTAGTTACACATTTCATAAAATGCCACTGAAGGTGCACACTGCAAACTGATAAAGCAGTGCAACAGGACATTTCAGAGGTTTTAGATACACTGTGTGAAAGGCCTATAGCAGTAACTATCAGCAGTTTTTTCTTGTTTTGCTACAACATGGGTTATAAATGTTAAAAGAGACTCACAGACACACGTTATACTGACAAAATTTCTAAAGACAATAAAAAGCGAATACTTACCGCACTACATCATCTATGTTGTTTCTGTAGACACCTTCAAGTCTTTCAGCTGGAAAGCCCATTGCGATTATATTAGGATAAATATCTAGATAGCAATGTTAAAGAAATCTAGAGACTCTTTCTAGGGAAACTGATATGGACAAGAGAAAAAAAATACAATCATCTGATTTAATATGAACCCATTTATAAAGTCCACTGGCTCCTGGTCTTGCACAATTGTAACAACCAGTTAAACACATATCAAAAACGCTGAGACAAGGTAGGTGAACAATGCAGAGCAGCTAAATGACGCCACAAGGAGCAGGAAAACTAACAAAGACCAAGCCCCGGTTTAAGTGGAGACCTTGTGCTTTACTTTTTAGTTGTGCAATGAGAGCTCAGATAACAGGATTCTGGGTAATATAGAACAGATGGCTCTCGCTCTAAGAGACCAATGCATAGACCTCTAACCCAGAAGGCTACACAGGGGCACTAAATAAATCACACTGTGCCTTAGCCCAGCCTGGAATTACATTCCTTCCTCACCTTTCCATATCGAGTGCATCACTTCTTCAGTCCGACATACACATGCAGGCCTATATAGTCAAAGATGATCTAATCAGACCCTGATATAGCAGACAAACGGTTGGCAAAGCAATTCTATCAATATCTATCACAAAGAAACTCACAATTGTTTAAATCTACTTTAAAAATCAAGTCTGGAAATACAACAAAATATTAGATGTTAAATCTACCGTGATCACTCTAATCTGTATACAAACAAGTTAAACAGAGCCTTAATTATGATCTCAAAAAAAAAATAAAAAATCTCAACAATAGTAGCATACAATGATGGTTTCTGACAGAACGCTCTAGACAAAAGAAAACAAAAAACATCTGGGCTAGATGACGGTAAGCAACGTCGTCTTGTGTTCTCGGATGGTGTAGCATGTGGTTCTCACTCCTGATCTGGCAAACTTTACGTTTGAGTAAAGAAGAAAAAAAAACAAAAATATTTTTTGACAGCTATATGGATACGAGCTCAGGGATGGTGTGATTCTGATAAGCCATAAGAGGTCTTTAAATGTTTACCATCTGAAGCAGCTAGGAAATTAGATTTCACTGTTTTCACATGACAATCATAACGAGTTTAAATTTTAAAATATCTAAAAATAAAGTTCATAAAACAGTGAAAATCTTAGGAAGTTAAGAGATCCACATCTCCATGAAACAGTTAATATGCATGTAAAAAAAATCTTGGGTCTTTATTTTTAATGGTTCAGATGACAGAACAATTCTTTGATCCTTAAAGTCTGAAACACACGGACAAATTCAGCAAACAGATCATAGTGATCTGATCAAACTCAATCAATCAGGATATTTATCCATAACACAAATGCACTGCTCTCTTTTAAAAAGCTCCCTATATTAGTTGTCCGAACAAAATATGTAGAAAAATGCATTCCACATATTTATCTTTCAAAGAATTGCACACAATATTATCCAAATTCAAATCAGCATGACCTATTTAGTCATAGTGAATGTGACCATATCGCTTAAGATAAATGCCATGCATAAGTAAATAACCAGCTATAAATATGATGCACTGAATGAGACATCCATGATACTCACTGGACATAAAAATAATCGAAGGTTTGACAAAAAAAAAAAATAATAATAATTTAAGTCCATGTTGGACAGTTTCGAGCAGAACTTTGTCCAATCAGGTGAGTGCTGCACTGACATTACATCGCACATTGGTGTGTTGTTGTTTTTTTTCCTCGCAGACTTAAAAATTAGCATCAAATGATGGCTTTATTTTTGAAGTCTATAGCAATTGTCAAGTGAAAATCTAAAGAACTGTGTTATACATTTCAGGTAAATAAATAAGTAACTTTTAACTGCAAATGTATTGGGAATAAATGGATCGAATAAAACCTAAATCCTAAAAAGTCTCATCTTGGCTAACTTCAAGAAAGAAAGAAAAAAATGTAAGCTTAAAACTAGTAAACATATTTCATGACCCACGATCACACAAGATGCATTTTATCAATCATTGCCGTAGACAGTGTTGCTTTATCAGTAACATGAAAAGTGGACTGAAAGAATGAAATCATTCTCTATATTTATCCTTTGAAACTTCTGTAAGAATAGAGTCCTACATTCCACTTCAACACAGTGTGTGTTTTAAATGCAATGAGTGCATAACATGATGCAATGCAATAGTGAACCCACACACCATCAAAGCCCCTGCAAATCAATGTCCGTGCAATCAATTCATTCACAGTTTACTCATGTAACACACTAGATCTAAAGCAAAACTGCATCCTTGTTTAGTGTAAATACACTTAACATTTCAAAATTCTTGACAAAACATCCACCAAGGCCTACCAGATTCCTAAAGCCATTGTTATAGTGCTACAGAGAAATAATTGCACCTCTTCAATTATTTGATCCTGCCCTCTAACTGTCCTTCCAGCCCTGCCTGTTTCTTAGTGTTTGGTACACCTGTCTTTTTGTATATTACAGGACAACGAACAGGACAGTGCGGTGAACTGCACTACAGCTAAACGTCAGGTTTGGTTTTAATATTTCATCTTCAATAACACCGAATCCTGCTGAAATAAAACAAGTAATCAAACCACTTTTCCACTTCATCTGCAAGGATGTAATGCACCTGAACAAAGCCATCACAAAACCAGCAATGTACATGCATACAATGTCTGTGCTTGAAAAACACAAATGACATTGACATATGGCACATAACAGTGAGCAGGCATCAGTGACGTTTCTAAAATACAGCGCTACAGAGGAAGACCTCTTTAACAGGACTGCACGAATCCCTTCCTGCGATTACGAAAAAGACATACTTCACATACTAAAGCATTTCCTTTTTGTACGCAAGCGTGTGAACTGACTCATTTATGCTCAAATCAAAACTACACCAAGTTGAGCGCGAGATCTATGTTCTGCGAGCAGCTGATGCAATGGCTCTTTGTGTGACACTGCTTGTGCATTTCATCTAATCCATCGCATTATATAAGCCAGTGAGACCTCTACGCGACGCATCTTTTGTTTTAAACCCCCCAAACTGCAGTTTTCGTGCGAGAAGCCTTGTGTGCTGGATTTCAGGTTAGCAGCCAATCGATGGATCAGAATGGAAAATAATGACCTTTTACAACCTGACGTTGCTTACATTGTAGTTTGCACATGTAACTTGCCCAGAACAACTGTACAAATGAAACGAGTGCGCGTGCAGTCTGTTTATTCTCTGTCTGCTCGATGACTTGGTTAAATTGAGAACTGACATGAATCTAAACGGCGCTGGCTTCGAGTTGATCAAGCTACAAAACCTAATAGATCTAGATCACGTCAAGCTCCAGCCGCCGACTAGGTGCCAGTGCCAATAGTTTCTAAAAAATTAAATAAATAATAATAATAAAATAAACTCATTTAAAATAAACAGACGCTCATTTCGTCTATATCCTCTCATGAAACTTCAGAGATTTATCGATTTAGAACAAGATGCAAGCTATTACCTTCACTGCAGACACTGGTTTCTACACAATAGACAGAACAGGGACATTTGATTGATCAAAGAGGATACAGGTCAAGTCCAAGTCGAATCCATCTTCCTGGTATCTATTTTTGTTTCGACTGACAAATTCTTTTATGATCGCAGCCATGGCTGTGACAGGAGTCTTTACGGTTTTTAGTGTGTGAGAGAGTATTGTTGCTTTCGGACGATCGGTCGACTTAATGCTCTGCTCGTTTCGCAGTCCCCCTGCTAGCTAGAATGGAGTCTGCTGTGGCTCTCTCATCAAGGGCCTCGCTCCAAACCACCACAGGCCCGGCTTCCAAAATGCCCTCCTCAGCTCAGACGAGCCCTGGGTGAAAAGATAAGCAACGTCCCACGTCTCGAACTGCAGAATTTCTAGTGCACGACAAGTCTCTGGTCGCACCGTAGCCGCCGTGATTGAATGGAAAGGCGGAGAGAGGGTCCTCTCCGTGCGCTTCCACCTCAAGAACGGTTGTCAAAGCCCCACTCGCACTCCGCTCTCGTTCCGTCTAGCCGCTAGCTTCAACGGCTAGCGCGCTAGCTCGTCTACCCATCCTTAAAAAAATAAAAGCCATCGAACATTGCAACAATCCGCGATGCCCAAGTTCCAACACATGAAATGAAAGGTGACAGCCTCCACCAAGAAATTAAAAACTCGATATTTAAATGTCACGTAGGAGCGGTCTCCAGGCGGGTCCTTTTCCTTCGCTGCTCCTCTGTTAAGCTCTCAAACTTCCATCATGGCTTCCCATTGAAAAAAGGTGACGTTCGGACAACATATTCATACGCTGTGTCAAGTAGTTCCACGAATGCAGTATTGTATGACTATAGCAATGCTTTTTCTGTATTTCAGTATATAGATACACACATTATTAGGTACAAATATTTAACTGTTATGACGTTAAAAAAAAATACATTAACAATTTTTTTTAGGTACAGCAAGCGGAAGAATACAGTCAGAGCACAAACGAACTACTTTTTGTTCCAGGGTCACGTGTGTACAGAAATTAGGAAAGTTTCCAATATTTTATATCAGATTTCAAGTCAGTATGTAGGTATTACAGACCAGCATTCTCGTTTCTTTTTTTAAATAATTATTTATTGGTCTGACCCATGGTGACTGAAAATAACAACCTGGAAGGTATATATTTGAAACACTACTGTATACGGGGGAAAATATCAGAATGCGTGTAGTTAACGTTACCCCCACCACCAATGCCTCTACTACCCTGCAATAGAAGGCAGGAAATTGCTGAAATGCTTACGCAAGCAGAAAAATAAGTTACTGCATAAAGGCGCAAGCACATCATTTGGTAATTATAAAGTGATGATATAAATTAATTGCGCCAGCGATTACGCAAATGTTTTTAACCATGTATTAATGCAATATGCGTGTTCTGTACCATTTGTTCAAATGCGCATTTAGCCCCCAAGGACGGCACAGAGGTGGAAAGGTCTAGCTGAGTTTCAGATGGCAAATCTTTATTGTACAGCGCCATCTGTCAGATTAGAATGAAAGTTTGTAGATATTACAATACGTTCTCCTGTGCTTTTCCAGTACAACCCTTTTCTAAATGTTTTGACATTTTTTTTAAATTTTTTTAATCTTTATTTGTAACATTATTTAGGAGATCTTGTTTGAAGGAAATGTTAAGTAGCAAAAGAAATAGTTTATAGATAAAAGCAAGCTTTTCCCATACTTTTTTCTATTACAATGCTAGGATAAATTCCACACAGAATCATATATAGAATAAATCGAATGAAATAAATAGATACATTTTAAGAGTTTTATTATTTTGTAATTATTTTGTGTTAATTAATAATAAATATCACAATATATGTAAAGATTAAACCTAATTTATGCTCAGATTTTAGTGTATTTTTTATGTTTGGTGCTTTGTGTATGACCTAATTTATGCCTAATTTATAAGTTATTTATGATTTATTAGTATGTTAGATATGTTTGTTTTATCTGGAATTAATAAGTCATTCCTTCTTCATGGTCTGCTATATTTTTACGCGTATCCCATTTGCCGTTGAATAATACCTGTATCCTTATTGTTATACAATGACAACTCATCTTTGCCAGGAGAGGGTAGTGGTGTGCTGAGATCGAACTGTCGGGTGACGAAGGTTAGAGAGAAATATGATCCGATTCCCAATTCATCTAGACAGTATCAGATTTGAGTGTGTAGCCTATCAGAAGAGTATTATTGATAGCCTATACTGCAAGTCACAAAACTGCATCTTGAAACCACGGAACTAGTTTTTATTTATTGCATTTTATTGTATTTTATTTTATTTTATTTCATTTTATTATTTTATTTTATTTTCGGTATAGTTAATTTAATTGTTAGGCTATGTTATGTTGTGTAGAATGCGTTGAATTGTATTCTCAGTCTACGTTTGTAAACAAAAACACTGAGCCCATTTTCACACAGTTTATATGTGCATCTTGACACTGAAAATCGACATTAGCCAGTCATCTTTATCATCACAGTTAACATCTTTATACACTCCACATCTGATTTAGGCAACGACAATTCTTCCTACAGAGAAAAGTAGCGCGGATCCACCAGTCGTGAGTCTCATGCACAATATTTAATAATGCAAATAAGGCCAAATGGTTTGCCACTGTGCTATTCGTACTGTATCTTTATAAAAGTTCACAATGTTGATGCAGTTTAAATACAACATAACATGGACAGCATTAAATAAATATTTTAATTACGTAATTATCAGTGTCTTTGACTTTACAACAAGTAGGGGAGCGCGGGGCACAAAGTAACGCGGGGTTAGTTGTAACACACATGGTTTGAATATTTCCACACATGCTAGCATAACAACATTTACAGTATTTATTAGTTACCATATCAACATTATATAGAAAAATGTGTGCCAAAATTCAAAAACCTTTTGAAGATATCAATGAACATTTACTTTACCATAGTAAATTCTGGCTTAAGTAAATTTTTCATCTCTGTTTTTATTAATCATTTGAAATGAGACAACTCTGCTATTATTATTTTTTATCTCCAATCTGTTATTTATCAGTTTAGATAGTTTTTTTTTAAATGCTTTGCTAACTAGCAGAAGACTGCAACTGGTTTTAAAGGGGTCATATGATGCTTTTTTAAAGATCATTATTTTGTGTATTTGGTGTAACAGAATATGTTGACATGCTTTAATGTTCAAAAAACACATTATTTTTCAAATACTGTACATTATTGTAGGTCCTCTATGCCCCGCCTCTCTCAAACGCTTCGTTTTCTACAAAGTCCCTCCTTCCGACAAGCGCAGTCTGCTCTGATTGGCCAGCTGACCCAGTGCATTGTGATTGGCCGAACACCGCAAGCACTCGTCGGAAATGTAACGCTCCTTACCATAATCGCGAGCTTCATCTTTCAAAATAAATGTAAAGACAGAGCCCGAAAGGGGAACAGAGTCGCCTGACAGACACAGTGATGACGCGTGTATGTATTTGCAGTACACAAGCCACGGTTAAGACAGCTGACTCCACTGTGATGTTACCCTCTCGCTCTCTCGCTCGCTCACTCGCGCACACACACACACAATGCGCAAAACTCCGCATTTGAACAGTCATGCACAATCAGCTTGTAACACTCCAAAGAGAAAGGAAAACTTGAAATCGCATCATATGACCCCTTTAAACTCCAGTTGCGCAGATGGGGCACGTTGTAACACTGCGTTACAATATGCTATTCTATGGCATTAGCGATGTAATTTACACTATTTTTTACTTTAATTAATTTTAATGAGAAACAACGAGAAACAGGTGAATAAAGACTGACAGTCAATGTTTAATGTTTAGAAATTATTAT